GGAGGAAGAAGTTGGCGGCGAAACTGCAGGTCGGCAAACATACGCCTTTCACGGATACTCCAAGTCTGGCGATGTCCAAGGACCCCTCATTTATGCCAACTACGGTTCACGAAAGGACTTCGAGCATCTTACAAACAAGGGGGTCAATGTCACAGGTGCTATTGCGCTCGTCAGGAATGGCGGATCCCTGGATAACCAAGGTCTCAAGGTCAAGGCTGCGGAACTTGCAGGTTTTTCTGGATGCCTTATCTACTCCGACCCTGCAGACGACGGCTTCAAGAAGGGTGCTGTGGCGCCAGAAGGACTATACATGCCCGCAGACGGCGTTCAAAGAGATTCTGTAGCGCTCACAAACTGGGGCATCGGAGATCCTTTGTCGCCTGGTTATGGTAGTAAGGGTGACCAAAGAATCACTCTTGACAAGGCAAACGGACTTGTTGGTATTCCCAGTCTTCCGCTGGCATGGAGAGATGCCAAGGTCCTACTGCAACACCTCAAGGGTTATGGGGAGAAAGTACCAAATAAGTGGGAAGGTGGCGTTCCAGATGTCGAGTGGTGGACCGGTGATGACAAGTCTCCGATCGTACGATTGAAGAACGAGCAGGATGAGGATTCAATGCATACTATCTGGAACGTCTATGGCCGAATCAATGGCATGGAGCAAACGTCCAAGTCTATTATCATCGGTAATCAGCGTGACTCTTGGGCTTTTGGTGCGACAGACCCGCATTCAGGCACTGCCGTCATGATCGAGATGGCCAGAATCTTCGGGGACCTTGTGCAGCGAGGCTGGAGACCCTTGAGGACTATCGAGTTCATGTCCTGGGACGCTTCCGCATACAACCTAATCGGTTCAACAGAGTATGTTGAGCATAACTCTGACGCGTTGCGCGACAACGCCTTTGCCTATATCAATCTTGATGCAGCCGTTGTGGGCAACGAATTGCATGCCTCTGGCTCGCCCGTGTTTAGAAAATCTCTTCTGCACGCTATGGGCCGAGTCATCGATCCCAGTACTAATTCTACCTTAAAGGAACTCTGGGACCAGAGTCATGCCGAGCTCAAACAGCCTGAAGGAAGGGGTAACCATATTCCGTTCCAAGATATCGCTGGGACTAGCTCCCTTGACCTGGCGTTCAGGGGAAGCCAAGTTCCTCATCATTCAAGCTACGACAAGATTGATTTGGTGGATAACTTTATTGACCCCGATTTCAAGTATCATGGTGCCATGGGACAGGTAATCGCTCTTCTCATTCTTGACATGGCAGATCGACCCATTATGCCTTTTGACATGGGGTGGTATGCGCAAAGATTGGTTCAATGGGTGAAAGACCTCGAAAAATGGGCTATCAAGCACTTGGAGGGCCAACCCAAAGGTGAGACAGACGCTTTTAAGGAGCTCAAGGAAGCTGTACAGCTCATCCAGCACAACGTCGCCACATTCGAAAAGTGGGAGATGGACTGGGACCGCGATGTCTTGGGTAATGGAGGATGGGAAGCCACCGACATTGGCGCGTCTCGATTAGCATACAATAACAAGATGGCATACTTTGAGACGGCGATGCTGGATCTTGAAATCGGTGGTGGAGTAAGTCTCATCACCCCAGTTGACAACATAAATCAAGCTGACCATTCATAGATCCCCAACCGCACACAATTCAAGAGCATCGTCTTTGGGCCAGAAACGTGGTCCAACGACGGAGCTATCTTTCCTTCAATCCGCGACAGCATAGAAGAGGGGGATTGGAAGACCGCCAAACCCATCGTTGCCAAGACGGCAGCACTCTTACGCAAAGCAGCATCAATTCTAGAGATGCAGCAATAAAGTACCTGTATGATTTCAACTGAGCAAAAGCTCTTCATTTATTTCCTTTTTCCCCCTTTCTACTTCTCGATTCCGCAAACTGAGTCTTGGCGAGCCCGCCCTTGTTCTTCTTTTCTCTACAGGATATATATAGTTGTCTGGTTTCTGATTTGTGAGCTGCGTGGCAACACTTCACGCAAAACGTGTACAGGAGGCATTGCACGGAGTTTGGTTGCGTGGATCCTGCTTGCTATATTGTTTTCTTGGGTAGGACTTGTTGAGGCACCTGGTCGGGATAGAGTGAAGGTTTGTCTGGCGACTATACGGGATTCTTCTTTGTTATAGTTATCATAATGAAGGAATGCGAGTCACATATGTGCCCTGATATGTCCCATCATAGAAAACTCATAGAGCGGATATTCTTGTCGCAGTAAGCCTGTGTCTCAGAACCTAGTCTCTTCGTGATTGCGTCCTTTCATCACTCAAGCCTTCTGCGCCTCGTAGTCTTGCACAGAAACCAGCTTTCCAACAACAGTGTACTTCTCCAAAAACCTCTCCTCCCAGCCCTGCAGCGCATCCATCTGCTCCGCATCCAATCCCTCGAGCTTATCGAGCGGAGCATCAAGATCCTTGGTCAGCATATCTTCGTCGAAGCTGCCGCACGCAAGACCTCGGCTCGCATCCCTACCAGCAAAGTTGCTGTACGGGCCACCAGGACCATAGAAGTTACGGCCAGGTGAGACATCGAAAACACGCCCGCGAACAGCGAGATAGACAGGGCGGCCCTCCTCACCATTGAAAGGGAGAAGTGTGTGAGGAGTGTATGTTCGAAACACGGTTGATGGGGTGTCGCGGGGGAGCGAGGGTGGTGGCGAGGAGCGCATGAGGGCGTGTGTTGTGTAGAGGACGGCGCAGATTAGGACGAAATTGAGAGGGGTGAAGAATGATGCGCTGAGAGAGTTAGTGAGTATATCTAGAGACGGATTGATGAACAGCGCACGTTTCTTGGCTGGCTTGGTGAGCCAAGTGACTGTCGACGTGATCCATGGTTTTGACAGATAGTATTCTACTATGTCTAGAGAGAGGTTGCAAAGAAGTTCGGTATCTGGTACAGAAACTACAATGACGAGTTACTTCTGTGATGGTAATTTAAAGGTGTTGGTTGGTTGGGGATTATCGAAAGCGAGCGAGGCCCAGTAAGAAAGTGTTCGATTGATGGATTCCGAGCTTCCGGTGGTTCTTTGAGCTTCCTCCCCCACTTTATGTTCCGAGCGCTGTCTCAGCTTCGTGTTGTCTCGGGAGTTAGGGAGTAGCCGCTCAGGTTCCCGCTTAAACCTTGTTTGATTTGTTACTGCCTGCCAATTACTATGTATAGTATGTACTATGCTATCGTTATGTTTCAACGGAGGTAAACTTGACGCATTACTTGATTCTGTCCTTGTTAATATAACAAGAGAATACATGGTTGAGCTATGTTGATTGCCTACCCTATGCTGAAGAACGGCAGTTGGCAGCTCTAATAACATTACGTTCCAAACATGGGTAAATGACAGGCACCCTCGGAGCTTAAGAACTAGGCCGTTTAGCGACAACGATGTTTTTTTCGGGTTTCACAAACCTTTATTCAGAAAGACTGGGCAAGCAAGGTTGATCATGGGAGATGTACTTACTAGATCTCTGTCTGAAGCTTGGGGCTTAATGCCGTGTCTTGTAATAATATTTCCAACCCTTCGATTTTTGGATAGAGACAATTCCTTACCTCTGCGCTCTGTACTCGGGACAGAAATAACATCGACCTTGTGTAAGTGAACTCTAACTAGTTGGAACCCTTAAAGCATCTCCTGGGGCAGCTAATGGCATGATGCTACGTTACTGACAGCACAGCATGAGGCAGCCTATCCGTGACATTTAACCCGCCATTCTTTATGACCGACTTTTCCTCAACTATGGTCGACGAAAACGAAACGAAACAAACAAGCAGCAAAAATGCAAAAGGAAATGGAGGCTGAGGGATTTGAACCCCCGGCCTTTCGCAAGCATTTGAAACAATGCAAAGCGAACGTGATACCCCTACACCAAGCCCCCGTTTTCTTGATTTTTGAGGTGCAAAAGATAGTTTATGATTCCCGCGCTGAACATATACGCAGTTATCCCAAAGAGAATACCACGCTTCCAGATGATCCGTCAATAGATTTACTCAGTTTAAAGCCTCACTGGTATCTTTATGTTGCACCATATCGAGTAATCTGATCCCTATCTGGCACAGCTGAATATCAAGTTCCAGATGCAGATAAATAGACGTCCACGGTTTAACACAAAAGACGTCTTTGTTTACAGAACAACCTCAAAGTTCGCAGTTACTACAGAGCACTTGATCGACGTTTATGCTGATGGGTCCTGGTTTGGAGCAATCAACTCAGGTTTTTCATATTGTAGTGTGCAATGGGAGGTACGTTTTGGCCGTTATTTACCATCATTGTGTAAGTCAAGGCGGTGGCACCTATGTACCTACCTACTACCGGTTGATGGGTGACAAGTAGATTTCTTTGAAGATGAATTTGGTAGTTGATCGAGGTTGGAAGAGGAAGAAGTTGCTACGGCCCGACAGAAGCTTTTTTTATGACCAGCATCATAGAGTTCAAGCAGCTACCGTATAAGTCATGCGTATACTAGAAAACCTAGTCTTGAGAGAACCTTTACTTAAAAGATTTATTAAAAGTTTAATTCGCAGATATATTAACTTTTATTGAGAGCCTTGAAGAAACTGAGAAGGTCTGGGCGAAAGTTGACGGATCAAGAAAATGAAATATACCTTAGTACCTACCAGGCAACGCACACTTATATGAAGGCAAAGAAATGGGTTACCCAAAGGAAGGAGGTGCGACCTCACAAACACTCCATACCTATTCTCTACTTCCTTCTCAAACTTTATTCATTCATCTGCAACAACCTAATATCTCGGCTACCCCGTGACTCAACGGCGAAGAGTCATCCTCAACCCCGGTATAATTGATCACCTACATGTAAATATATAACATGTCTCAGCATCCTTTGAGTATCGACATTTTTTTTGTTCCGCAGTTAATCAGTAACTCGACCACGATACAATACCAGGGCAAGACATCATACAAGAACAAGACGTGATAGAAGCTTGAGACGCCACACAAGGCCAAGGTACATTTCAAGTTCACAAAAAATGGCATCCTCTTCCGACCCCGGTCCGGTCTACTTCTGGAAGGAGTCTGATCCAGAAGTTGGATATCTTTCACAGTGGTATTACTGTCCTTTTTGCGATGACAAAGATGAAAGGATAATGTACAAGACCGCTGAACAGTAAGTGTTTCGAGTGCGACTGTAGATGGGAACTAACCGTGTTAAGCTACATGATGTTCCAAAAGGCCAAGCTTTTTAAAGACGAAGATACAGCCATCGAGGTGCTCAGAGCAGCAACACCTCGCAAAGTAAAATCCCTTGGACGCAAGGTCAAAAACTTCGACGAAGCAACATGGCTCGAACATCGCCGTGACATTGTACGACACGGCAACATTCTCAAATTCACTCGTGCTATTTCAGAAAAGGAGTGCAGAAAGGGCTCACCCAGTGGTAAGCCTCTCGAGGGATCATTACTCGATACATTGCTATGTACGGGTGACAGAGAACTTGTCGAGGCGAGTCCGTTTGATCCTATTTGGGGTATTGGGTTTAAAGCCGCCGACGCAGAGGCTGCGAGGGGTTCATGGGGCGAGAATCTGCTAGGGAAGGAGTTGATGGCGGCCAGAAGTATTCTGAGAGAAAAGAGAGATCAAGGACAGCTGTAGATCGTTCTCTTTCTCAGGACTGGACAGTTCATTTTACTCGGTACAGACACAAGAGTACTTTGAGGCGATGCGCCTACACGCTATAATAGATTGGAATGGCCTCTAATGTAAAGGCAACTTTTGAACCTGTCTATAGTCCATGCTCCTCCCGCCGCTGATAATGCCGAGCCCAATAGCCCTATTCTCCTCAGTAATCATACATACAAAAGCCTCCTTCAGAGGCAAGCAGAGCGGCGTGGTAGTCATTTTGTTTTGCTGATAATCAGCCCCAGATCCATTCTCCCAGAAATGCATGTTTTGTGTTGATGTGTTGTGTGGTATTGGTGTTGGTTTCGTGTCGAGAGCCCGCCCTGGTATTTTCACATGATGGAACATATTGTACAGTTATTAAAACACATTAGGCGATGCTCCTTTGTTCGCCATTCCTCTCATCTTGCAAGTATCCAACAAATGCAGATCCCAACCCCTGACGCCGCATTGAAATGATCGTGCTTTTTAGTACCAGTCTCGTCCACTCTTCTGCATTTCAATCAGACGCCAGCCCCGTGTCTCAGGGTTGTTGACGTCTTCAGGTACTCGTGTGATACCAATTGCGTAAGTGACGAGTTGGACTTTGTCCTCCATACCAGCGGCAAGCTCGTTTGTCTTGGCGTTACGGTAGACGTGGACTTCTTGCGTGCGGCAGGTGACGATAAAGACAGGAACCTCGCCAGGGTCGAGCATGCGCGCTCGCAGAATGTCGACGTTTCGGATATCCAGAATCTTTCCATCAGATTTCATACCAGCCTGGAGGTACTGCTTGGTCAAAGCTTCGTACACGGAGTACTGAGCAGCGGAAAGCCACAGCTTGAGTGTCTCGGTCTCACCCTTGACATAGGCATCAAGCACTTCGGGAAGGATGTACTCGCGAAGTTCCTGAAGGAAAGGCTCCGTCTGGAAGCTGGGGTCCATAGATCGGAACTTCTTGATAACCATGGCAGTCTCATTCTCGGCAAAGAAACCTCCAATGCGGTCGGTGATGCTTCGAGCGGTCGACACCAGAGGGTTCTCAGACTCGTCATACTTGCCCCTTAAGCTGAAAAGTCCCTGGACGTACTTGTTCTGGTCGCGGAAATCTCTCCAGGCCTCCTTCCAAGCAGCATCTTTGTGAACGGTTACGCTAGTACCAGCGCTGCTTTTTTGTTAGGGCAGTTCCAACAATCAAGACAAAAGATACTCACTTGATGTCCTCTTCCATGGCTTCAGGAGCCTTGTAACCCCGCTGTTTGTCGAGAGCCTCTCGGCGTTTCCGTCGCTCCTCTTTTTCAACCCAACCACCATACCGGGAAGAGCTGCCGTCATCAATAACATCCTTGACGTTCTTGTAAGCCTCTGTATTTCGGATAGGCTGAGTGGCCTTGTCCACAGCATCTCCAGTGACGTTGGCGGCCTTTCGAACACCTTTGACAACTGAAGTATCCCAAGTCCAAGAGGCACCCTTGCCAATGGCACCCGCAGTTGCCTTGGCGCCCTTTCCGAGGGTCGAGGACACAGCACCTGTAGACTTCTCATAGGCTTCACGAGCACGTCGCACACCCTCGCTCTCCGCAAATTGGTTTGCGGAGGCCGCAATTTGTTTCGTTGACTCGTTCCACTCCTGGGACTTTTGGAATTCGGTGTTCATAGTCTCCATGAAGACCTGCCAAGGTGTTTTGTCACCATGTGGAGGTGGGGGAGGGGCATCTTCCTTCTTCTTGTCCTTGCCCTCACCCTCACCCTCACCGTCTTCCTTTCCCTTTCCTTCCTTTTCACCATTCTCACCCTCATCCGTCTTCTTAGACTGCTCCGCCTCAGGCTCCTCAGACTTGGCCTCGGACTTGGCGCCTGTTGGCTTCTGTTCTTTTGCGTCGGCAGGGGGAGAAGGCGAGGCCTTCTGCTCAGATTGAGGCTTCTCTTGGTGTAAACGGCTGGAGAGGTGGAAGAGGCGGGACTGTGCTGTATAAGTAGGGGTGCAGCGAAGCTCGGCGGGCACGAAAGAAGACCTCAAGGGAGATCGAATGGACCCGGGAAGCATTTGGCATTGTTGCGTGGCACTGTTGCGTGAGGCATTCTGAGAGAGCTGAGATGCTAATCTGCAATATGCGGGTGATCTACCAGCGGATGAGACATGAGCAGAAGCCCGTGACAAGGCAAGCTCCGAGGAGGCCGTCTTTCTTGCGAGGGAGTTCATTATTGCAACAACACAAGTAGATGCAGATAAGAAACCCTCCAAAGAAGAACGGAGCGTGGATATAGAATATGGACGGTGGAAGGTGGTGGAATTCCCCGAGGAAATTTTGGTTTGCGATCTCGGTCCGGGGGCGGAAAGTCAAGGAACATGAGCGCCGAGACGGCAAAGCCTCGGTAGAAATTTCAATCGGGTCCCGGTGCATGGGGGAGCTACCGACCACGAGTAAAAATTAACCAGGCAGGTCATTTGATTCAACCCAGTCCAATTCCAAGTCCACGACAGGCAATGCGCACAAGATGAGTCGCTCATTATCGAGTCGCTTCGCAGCGAAGTCTCTTTTCCAAACTACCCGAGTTACGGTCCAGACCGTCCGATCAATCTCACAAACGACTCCCCTCCGCGATGATAAGCCCAAGAGCCGACCCAGTACAGCCTCAATCCTAGAGAGCATCTACGGTCCACAAGATACGGCTCAGGCCCAGTCTACACCCAGCAACAGTGCCATGGCCAATCTCTCTCAAAGCCTTGTATTCAAGACTCTTGACAAGACCAACATCGATACGAGTGCCTTGGGCAAAAGATCCCATCGCAAGGCCCAGGCCAAAGAGGACGATCTCGAACCCTACCACTTTCACATCTACTCTCACAAACACAACACTCACATTACCTGCACCAAACCCAATCGCGAGCCTATAATTTCCCTATCGGCTGGCAATATTGGATTCCGCAAGTCCCGCCGTGGTACCTTCGATTCCGCCTACTCCCTTACCAAGTACGTCCTGGAGCGATTGATCCACACCGGATGGCCCGTAAAGATGAATCGGTTGGAAGTTGTGCTGCGAGGTTTCGGTCAGGGACGAGAGGCTGCTCTCAAGGTCTTGATGAGCCCCGAGGGCAAGGTCCTACGAGACAAGATTGTGCGTGTTGCCGATTCGACAAGGATCAAGTTCGGAGGTACCAGGAGTGAGAAGCCCAGACGTCTGTAAGCCAGATGGCCTGGGGTGTGCGTTGGAATTTGGACACTTTTCGGAATATGTTCACGCCAGACTATCACTTCGCCGCGCAGGCCATAAAAGTGAATGTACTATACTTTGTACGACATGTACTATACAAATGAACAAAACCAGCTTGCTTAGGTCTGCAAGTCCCAAAAGAACGATCTGCTCCCGAACTACCAAACCATTGGTATCGTGCTAACCCATAAACAAAGTGCCTCGAAACTCCAAACTCCGATTGAAAAGCATGCAGCCTGATTTATACTCGATCATCGCAGTGCCCTCTCAGCTGGAGGTAGGCGGCGTCCGGCAGTGTCGCGGAGCGCTTGTTTGCCCTTTCCACTACCACCGCGTCTCCTCTCATCTTCGGAATTCCAACCGTCATCCCCACTGTCATCGTTACTATCCGTTAATAAATGGGGATTTGTTGATTTTAGCATGCCCGTGGTCTCATTCGAATTGTCATAATCATCTAGCAGTGCGCCTTCGCTCGTGTCATATTCGGGTGGCTCGATCCAGTCTCGAGGGACGACACAAGGCAATGCGACGCCGATACTAGCAGCACGATTCAACCACCCTGGACCGGATTGTCCCGTAAGCCGCTTGCACAGATATGAGGTGAAATGGTTGCAATTCTTTGTAAGAAGGTTGTACGACGTGCCGAGAAACTCGTCAGAAGCAGTCCGGAGAGTTGCTTCAATCTCTTGCTCGGTTGCAAGGGTGAATCCGTGGAGGATCTCGCATCGGAATGTGCCTCCAGGCGGTTCGGTCTTTGGTTTTGTCCAGTACACACCAGTGAGGCCCCGCTTGTCATGTCCACCATATGCGTATTCCTTCCCGTTGATGACGACGCCTGAATGGAGAAGTGAAGCGCCTACTGTCCACAATACTGACGACAATCGGCCGGGCTGTCAATGCCGCGCGTATCAGCATCTTGATCATTGAGGTTAACAAGAAGGAGTAGGTGACGTCTACCTACCGGCAATAGATCATAAACGTGAATGGTGATTTCGGTCTTGGATAAAGATAATGTCGAACGGTGAGATCTACTCACCGAAGAGCTCTTCTTGGGACGAGGCATTCTGACTGCGACAATAATTTTCGGGGACGTCGAAAGTGGCTCGAAGCTTGAGGTTCGCAGCTGATGAGTTGAGCGGGGCTGGTAGGCGAACGACCGGGCTATGCTGATATATAGGTAGGCGCTATTTCAGGTAAGTCTCAGGTATTGCAGGCAAGCGCCTTGTCACAGCAAACGTTTTTGATGAACAAAGAAGTGATGGTGTTGTCTAACTTGGAAGGTTGATGAATAGAACAAAAGCTAAGGGAAACGCAATAACAATGAAAGAGAAGGAGGCGGAGAGTTCGGGCCGCGTTCAGACTGTTCCTGTGAGATCAGAAGCCGGCCAAAAATCTTCTGGGGTCAGATATTTCCAAAGACGGACGCCTAAAACGACAGCGTTTGTTCTGTGACATTCCGACACATCCATACTAAAACATGCTGTGCCTGTCCACTGGATCCAGGGTCTTGCTGCACGCGCACGGGTCACAGTCAGTGAACTGTACCTGCCTGCCAAGCTGTTTTCGTCAGCCAATGACGTTATTGTCATAATTTCTTCGGATTAACACCTTTACCGAAGAACCGAATTCTTGGCACGGCCCAACCTCTCTAAACCCAGCAAGGTGGGGTCACGAACAAATTCTCATCTCATTTTCCCAAGCTCCGTCGCAAAATAAAAAGTGAAATCTTTTCTCTCTTCCTCAAACCTTTTTCTCTTCCCTTTCCTTCGTCGCCGCTCTTGCTCTCGAAGCCGTCCGAGGTTGGCTAGCTGCCAACCTAAATACTTCAACACGAAGTCCTTCAGATCATCTCTCTTCTTCGCTTCTTCCTTTCCTCTTGCACCCCGCGCAGCCAGCTCTGCAGCTCTTGGAAACGTTCCATTCACGCGTTCCGGTCTAGTTTTCTTTGTTCAACATCGTAACTACGCCAAGTCAAGAAAGATGCCTCCCAAGAAGCAAGTCGTTGAGGAGAAGATCCCCCTGGGCAGGCCTGGAAACAACTTGAAAAGTGGTATTGTGCGTCACTACCTCACAGGCTATCCTTGGGGTTAAGCCATGACATACAAGCCATGTACTAACCGAACCTCTAGGTCGGTCTAGCAAACGTCGGCAAATCTACCCTCTTCCAGGCCATTACCAAGTCTAACCTCGGTAACCCAGCTGTATGAAGCCCCCTCGCCATCCGCCGTCTTTAGTATCGGGGTGCTGACAGCATCAAGAACTTCCCCTATGCCACTATCGACCCTGAGGAAGCTCGTGTCGTCGTTCCCGATGACCGGTTCGACTGGCTCGTCGAGAAGTACAAGCCCAAGTCAGTTGTTCCCGCCAACTTGACCGTCTATGATATCGCCGGTCTGACTCGCGGTTCATCCACTGGTGCTGGTCTTGGAAACTCTTTCCTGTCCCACATTCGCGCTGTTGATGCCATCTTCCAGGTTGTTCGTTGCTTCGACGATGCCGAGATCATTCACATTGAGGGTGACGTGAACCCCACCCGTGATCTTGACATCATCAGCGAGGAGCTCCGACTCAAGGATATCGAGTTTACTGAAAAGGCTCTCGAGAACCAGAAGAAGAAGACCCGTATGGGTGGTCAGAGTCTGGAGCAGAAGAAGGCTGTGCAAGATCAAGCCACGCTTGAGAAGGTTCTAGCCTGGCTCAACGATGGCAAGGATGTCCGCAAGGGCACCTGGGGCCCCAAGGAGGTAAGAAAAACTTTTTTTCGCTTTGCTTTTACCACATCCTGCTTTCCTGATGACAAAAGGCCAGAAGGCCTGATCTAACCCAGCTCGTCGAATGCCTCAACTATTTAACGCTTAGAGGCATAGTGAGATAAACTTTACTCTGATTGCAATCCCTTTCATTCATTCATGTTTGAGACGCTTTGATCGAGCCTTTGCTGACTCGCTCATTTAGATTGAGGTCATTAACCCTCTCTTCCTTCTGACTGCCAAGCCCGTTGTCTACCTTGTCAACTTGTCTGAAAAGGACTTCATCCGCAAGAAGAACAAGCATCTTCCCAAGATTGTCGAGTGGATCAACGAGAATGCCAAGGGCGACCCTCTCATTCCTGTCTCCGTTTCTTACGAGTCTCGTCTCACTTTGTGCGAGACCGAGGCTGAGGCTAAGGAGGAGCAGAAGAATGCCGGTGCCGACTCTGTTCTGCCCAAGGTCATTCTTCAGATGCGAAAGACCCTGCAGCTTGGCAGCTTCTTCACAGTTGGACCTGATGAGGTCCGACAGTGGACCATCCGCAATGGCACCAAGGCGCCTCAGGCCGCCGGTGTCATTCACAACGATTTCGAGAAGACCTTCATCCAGGCTCTCGTCTTCAACTACAACACCCTCAAGGAACTCGGTGATGAGTCTGAGGTCAAGGCCAAGGGCAAGATCATGACCAAGGGTAAGGAGTACGTCATGGAGGACGGCGATATTGTCCACTTTAAGGCTGGTGCTGCCAAGGGCTAAGCCTACAACATCACCTGCGGTATTTAATTCTATAGAAAAAAAGTTAAATGCAATGATGTGATGAAGATTATTTAGTTTATCTCGTGCTCGTGTAAAATTCTAGATGTTCTGTGTCATATTGCACCTTGTTCTGCCTCAGTGCCTTTCACGATGGAAAGGAACCATTACTACAGTGAAGCTATCATCTCAGTCACTGGCCTCATTCATACATTCGCAACTGTTGCGCTTCGATAAATGAATGCTGGGGCACTTGCGTTCATCCAACTCTATTATGTTGTAATCTCTGAGCCTTATAGGTTACAAGGCCAAGCGCTGCAACCAGATGAACCTACCCTATGGACAGAAACCAGTATTTCAATATTGCCTAATCAAGTCGATCAACATTTTGTATGGTAGATAATGCACAATGGTTATTCGTCTTCTATAGTACATCGTCTATTATATTGAGTATCTACATAGACGACGGTACGCAAAAGAAACGAATCAAAACATGTGTATAGCAACACATTTCAATTTCAATTGACCTCTCCACATAATTGTCACTCATAGTGGGGTTGGAGGGGCAACTAAACCCTGCACAAAGGAGAATCCCCAAAAAAGACAAAAGAATAATAATTGAATTATTGTTTTGCCGTCAGCAAGACTCGAACTTGCGTTTTCAGTGCTTCGAAGAGCCACAAACTGATGTACTGACCCCTATACGATGACGGCTTTTGAAGTTGTTAAAAATTGTTCTTGTAGGTTAGTATATATGCATGATCAAACCACGAATAGAAAAGCTTAACGCCTGCTTTTTGGCCAAACACAGCTGAGAGATGATTTATGTAGCTTCATCGTGGTTTTGCATATACCTCCAATACATCCGAGAAGTTAGTGGAATGTATGATCTTTTGCTGCTGTGTCGAAGTGAAGGATTGCTCGCAATGGGGTAATCATGTACAACTTAATGCAATTTCTCATAATTGTTCCTACAATTAGGGTAGCCTGTGGTTACGGATGTGCACTGATGTTTAATCATTTTGACGTGTTTTTGTTTATTAAATACTAGACGAATTACGAACCCAAAAATGTTGTTTTCTCATTATCATCATGTCTTTTCTTTTCAATCATCCATTCATCTCGCGTGATCATAATCATTATCATGTTGCTAAAAGGCACCAGGCCCTTAGACACCACCATAACGAACTCCCCTCTTTCCAAGCTCCTTACGACCAATTGCATCCTCGGGCCATACCCATCCACGGCTTCGCTTGGCCTCGCGCTTCTCAGCCAGCTGGGGCTGAGGCATCCACGAGTCTCGAGAATGGGCCTTGCGACGGGTTCCTTCGGCCGGTGCGCCAATTTCAGCTCGCCAGTGGGCGTGTCCGACAGGAGTATCGTCAGAAGCAAGCTGGCACAGACCCCAGAGAGCGAGGCATGCTGTGAGAGGAGTTTCCTGGGGCAGAGTTGAGGCGCCACATTCGGGAGCAGAAGCGGCAAGTTGAACAGAGGTAACTTCAAGATCTCCGAAGAAGGGGGTGTTTGCAGTGCCGTTTCGAACAAGGACGAGCTCAATCTCTGTAAGGATGAAGCCGTAGCGGCACCCATGCTCGCGCATAGCATGATGGATAGCTGAGAGGCCGCGGAGGTACTCGACACGCTTGATGTTGCCCTCAACACGCATACCAGTGTTGAAACGATCGAAGCTGCGAACCAGACCGACGACACGGGCAGTGGGCTTGCCACCAAACATAGCAGCCGCAGTGGTAGATTCCCCAGAGGCGTTGGCAACGAAGAGAAGATCGTTCATGCCATTAGTCTTAGGAGGCACCGAAAGGTGCAGGGGACGAGTAGAAGATATGGCTAGGGCTGAGTTCAGCTTGGGTAGGTAGTATGAAGCATAGATGGAGTGGAGTTGAGCCTCGTTCTCAGGGTGACGAGAAGTAAAGGTAGGTTGAGAAAGCAGAGGCGCGGGAACAGGGTTGGTAAGAAGGGCCAAGGCACCAGGGAGAGAGAGAATGGCAGAAGCGTTGAAGGATGACCAAGAGCGAATGTTGCGAACATCCCACCAGAAGTGCTTAGTGGCGGCATCTCGCATGGGGAATGAGATGTGGCGGACAAGCGAAGCAGCGGGGTTTGTTGCGGTGAGAAAACTCAAAATGTTGGTGTTGGGAGTGGGATCCGGAGTAGCAGTGAGGCTTAAAGGGGACTGGGCTCTAGGGCTGTAGCTATAGGAAGCAAAGCCATAGTCGGATTGCTGCTGGGGGACCACAGAGGCGAACGAGGGCATCTGACGGTAGGTTGGGTAACCATAGCGGTCGATTGCGGTGGCATCAAGACTGGAAGCACGACGTGAGTGGGGAGAGCCAGAGATGTGAGTGGCAAAATTGGCAGGAGATGCAAGTAGAGATGCAGACAGAGAGTCGTCAGGCTGACTAGAGAAAGATGTGTTGACAGAGGCGATAGAGCCAGGAGTGTCAAAGTTGATGCTGAGAGACTCTGGGTTTGTGTAGCTACGCGAGTGCCGAGAAGGGTTGGGAGCAGGAGGGGTCATCATGCGGTAGTGACCACAGGGGGTGGGAGTAGGAGTGGCATCGATATCCTGGTCCTGAGAGCGGATCTTGGGGAGCAAAAGAGGACCATGCTGACGAACAGCAGGAGAAGCTCGAGGAGGCGTTGTCAGACGAGAGCAGAGAGAGCCATGGTCCGAGTCGACGGATACATTGGAGTAGACTGAGGCCTTTGATGATGAGCGAGAGTGGCCAGAGACATGTCCAGCAGCAGAGGCCGAGGCTGAAGCATATGCCATGTCGAGGAAAGCTTGGTCAAAGGGCAGTGATGACATGGCAGGAGGGGGACTTGGGCGCTCAATAGAGGCCGAGGGGAATGTGAAGTCAAAAGGCATGTCGACTGATAGACTTGGGATGATGTTAGAGACATTGTATAACATGATAGTATTGGTATATTGTTGACTCACGAAGACATGATGTTGGTTGTATTAGTTTTGTATGTCTATTGGTATATCGACAGGGGCCAGGGAGACCAGCTCCGTGGGATCGATGATGAAACAGAAAAGATGAGTTTCGTTAGAGCAAGGTCTCAAACCGGCAAGACTTTGCGTTAGGAATATAGCTGTGAAGCCTTTTTGTTCTGATGATTACGGGTTGATGGGAGTGAGTGATGCCAGATCACAAACAACAATAACAAATGCAAATAGGGAGGAGAGGAGACGGGGATGATTGGTAAAAGACAGGCTGATGATGATAATGAAGAAGAAAAGACAGACAAGAGACCCAGGGAGAGGCCGTCTTCTTATGTTGTCAATGAACCAAGGCACGCAATGGTTGGTGATGGGCGGCTGAGTTGGAACTCGAGCTGCAGCCGGAGCATGGTTAGCTTGGGCTCCCCGGCATAGGACCCATCCGATCCCACGATTGCCACGCACGAAACAAGAAACATTTTCATTGGGAACACGCAAGAGAAGATTCCGAAACACGTAAAGAGAGAGAAAGAGAAAGAGAGAGAGAGTATGGGAATTATCGCGGACGCGCTTGAACTTGCGAGGTGTAAGTTGTAGAGGGCATGATTGGCCAGGTCGTATTGACACTGTAAGCGCTCTATTGCTTGACAGCAGATGCATAAGTGCGAGAAAGACCCTAGACTGTGCAACACATCGCTACCCCAGTGATCCTCGCCAAGGATAGTGCTTTTCGGCTTGATGCTTTCGATGCACAAACCTGGCCGCTGAATGGCCCAGCGCTTGTGACTCATTTTTAGATCCTGGACTCGGCATATTTTAGCATGGAAACACCAGAACGCGAAAGACTGGAACTCTTGAAAGAGGACGCGGTTCTTTATAAAAAGACCGTGTCGTACAATCGCTTTTATTTACTATCGCGTCCTATACCAGTTTATTATCTCCAGGGACAACCATGGCTCAGGCCAAGGCCAGCAGCCCCCTCATTCATCTGTCGTCCATTCCCACACAGCTGGATATGCTGACATGACATGACATGACATGACATGAGCCTCATTCAGGCTCAGACTCAGACTCAGTCTCAGAATAGAAGCGGATTTCTCTTACCGGGTTTCAGTGGCCTCGGCCAAGCGAAAACCGTAATTGAGCTGTTAACCGCCCGGCGTCTAATATTAAAACACACATACAACAGTGGGCGCTTAAAAGAGTAGAGGTATATATAATGAATAATTTTGATATTAAAAAGCCCACCGTCGCACCATGACTCCGCGGCTACGGAAATTTGTTCTCCATCCACCAGATCATCTGCTCTTCTCTTTTGTCTGTTCATCATGGCAACTCAACCTATTCTGACTTACACAGCCTCAACCCCAAAAAGTATCAACCCCAGATACTCTCGCGATCCTGGCTCTCTCCTCTCATTCGCTATCAGACACGCGCCAGGATCCCACGCGCCCTGGGCCAATCAGCATCGAGTTCAGTCAAGAATCGCGAAAATCTGATGGCTTCGAGAGAATGAGTGGCTCTGGAATATGGAGAAAAACTATGCATGCATAGACTAGCTATGCCAACGTGGATGTGGATCCTTTGTGCATCTCTTCTGCCTCTTCCCGCTTCGTGTTTCATGTTTCATCTTACAAGTATCCATCTCCAATCCTTGTCTTCTCTGTTCTGGGCTTGACTCTCGTTCAACGCGTTCACCCATGTTACACTCTCTCGCTCACCCCTGGAGTCTCTGTCCTCGGTCCACTCTGATCGCTGGAGTTGCGTGCAACTTTGCGCCTTGTGCCTCTCCGTAGTGTACTTCTCACCTCAGAGTGGATCACTTGTGCTCAAGTACCTTCTGCCTCGCAATAGCATCGCAGACTCATGCCAGCCTTGACCCTCCCGAGTCTTGCGATTACCCTCTGCTGCTCCACTATCGTCACTCAAATAAGCCATGCCATCCGTCGCGTTGTGATTAATCTTTGTCTCTATAGACACCAACTTAACCTCTAATTAATCCCAACTCCTTGCTGACATTCTCTAGAGGACTGCTTGCTTGTATAATATGTAGATAATCAAACAGGTGCGATATAGGAACCGTCTTTGCAATTCTTCTCGCCAACTGGGTATTCGTCTAGGTATCCATCCACTCGCCCATCCTGCGTAAAGAGTCTGTTCTAAAGTAAATGCACATCAGTTTTAGCTTAGCGCAAACCAACCAGTCTGTGCCCTACCAACGCTCGACGCGTCTCTTCCAGCTATCTGAATATCACGCGTCTCCATGGTGTTATATGCTTGATTCTTATCCCACGAAATCTGTATCCACAATTGGTACTACTCGCCATTATGAAGCATCACCACGGCCTCCAGTATCGTCCATCATGACAGCCTCAGGCTCCGCCACTTGTCGAAGGACTAGTGACCTTGCCCCGTTACTCATTCCAGCCAACTTTGGACCCTGACCATCGGATCTTACCTTCCTGAGTGCCCTCAACATGCCATCCAACTTCATTCTTTCTTGCACCACCATCCCACGGACAAACTCCCGGATAGCCTGGCGACCCATCTTTTCATGTAGGTCTTGCCACCCTGCCAGTTCCCCAGCCACCGTCTGTTGCGTGTATCGAAGTTCCCTTGCAAGGTTTGCGGCTTCCTCCCTTGACTTCCGCGCCCGCTCTTCCTTCTCATCATAGAGCCGCTGTCTAGTGTCATCTAGGAGGCCAAGCGGCCACCTGGATTTGTTGAGAGAATTAAAGTTTCTATCCGCCTCACGCTTGGCCGCCCTCATTTCGGAAATGATGGATGGTGGTCGAGACAAGGACGCCAGGAGTGCCTGGACGGTAGATTGTAAAGCCAGAAATGATGAGTGAAGGTTCGCCTGCGGGTTTGACTGGGTAGGGACAATAGCTCGCACGTATGTCTCAAACGCCTCAATATGACTGGGAGGAAGGAACTGAAGAGTCGAGACGGCTCGGTGAAGCAATACTGACGAATCGTACATGTCTGACAGCTGGTTAGTTCACAAAACTTCACTGGATCGCATCGTTCATTCAGTATACGTACCTGCTGCAACAAGTCCGAGATTATTGGCGCGTCTCGTTGCACTCTTAGTCGAGTAGTTCACGCTTCTAATCATCTCTCGCGCATGGTTAACGAACTGTTCCACCTCTCTCACGTCCTCCACAGGCTCGTACTCGTCTCGTACTTTCTCTGCTCGTGTCTCTGTCTTGAGAAGCGTCCGTTGCTCCATCATATCCAGTTGCAGTTCTGGCACCAAGAAAAACTCCCACAGCATTTCATGGGTGGCAAATGTCGAATGCATCAGCATTATCTTTAAAAACCAGTCCGCTCGAGCTTGCATGTCTCGAAGGATAGCCCGCGATGGCTTTGATGGTATTTGAAACGGAGATCGCACATCGGTGAGAGACGGTATCCACGAGGCTGGATTTTCGAGCGCGAGAAGGCTCGGTAGATGTTCGAAATCCGAGAGCGAACGACGGCTTGTCGTTACCGTATAACTGTCATGGTCTGTTGGTGCGGCGGATTTCAACACCAATCGCACAGTCGCGTCTTCCACAAAAAATGCTCTGACTACACCAGTGATGCGTGCATCTGGCCCGGGTGGCATGCTGAACAGGGCAAGATCATCAATTTTGTTTCGTACATCATCATCCTTAGCCAGTTCGACCGCGGTGAGGCCTCTGATCTCCTTGGCTCCCACATCTACTCTTGGGTCGGCAAACAGAGAGCGGACCATGTCGTATCTGCCATATTTGCTGGCCACCATCAACGCTGTGAACCTCTTATCATTCGTTGCATTGACATCAACATCACAGTATTGGAGTATCCTCATGGCAAGACTCGCGTTGCTGACAATGTGCAATAACGTGTTCCCTTTGTTGTCCACATGTTCGTCAACATGCAAAGGCAGACTGTCATGCTGAGCCAATGCCGCCGCATTGAGCCCTGCTTCAACCATGTCTAGATAGTTTTTGTGATCGTAAGAGCGACAAAGAGCAAACAGCGGTGTTTGTCCATTCTTATCTCGCTGACGCCAAGGTATTAAGTGTCCGATCCGACTGATTAGTGCAGGAGCGTTGAAGAGATAGTGAGCGCAGCTCCGTCCCCAGATGTCTTGCTGTGCTAGGTATGAGATTAATTGCTCGGGAGTTGTCGAGGCTATGACGAAGTCAAGAGTCATATCGATGATTTGCGCATTCCCTATTTGAATAGCGGCACTCAACAGGGTAGTGTCTTCGTTGTTCATATCATCGAGAACAAAGGCTGGAGAAAAATAGTCTGCCAGAGAGAGTAGGTACTTTAATGTTTCTCCTCGGTCGGCTTGGATGGCCATCATTAGAACCGATTCTCCGAACGAGTTATTGGTTTGTGACAATCGAGCCACTGAGATGTCCCCCTCCAACGCGCTGCCGATAGTCCCAACACTTCCAGTACGAGAGTGGAATGAGATCTCGGAATCACCTGATATACTCCGGGTGTCCATTGCGACCTTCTTCACTCTTCGGATGGGTATCGTGAAGTCGTGCAAACGTGTTTCGTGTTCATCCTCCGCCTGGAAAGGAAATACGTGACCTAGGCCCGAACCATGAGAATAATGTTCGTATGGAGATTGGTCGTCAAACGAAAGGCGTAATGACGATCTTCTCGATCTTGAAGGACCTGCCGACCTCGATCTGGTGTCGTTTTGAAGACTCAATGCCATCGATGGACGGCGACTTGACGAAGGAGATTCTGACGACTCATCGTCCTCAGCGGCGCCCGAGCCAGGTTCCATAATCTTTTTGAGGTCGTCCAAAGTGCCTGTTTTTGCTGCATCCCAAAGTGCCTTGTTTCTCCTGCTGGCCCGTCGCAAACCGGCCGAGTCTAGGACAAGATACGCTAGGACTGCTTCGAATGTACTCAGAGCATAGCCTAGCTCGCCA